CTTCGGCAGATTTCAGTAGCGCTGGGGGTTCGTTGCTGGATATGCCCAGCAAGCCTCGGTGGTCAGGATGCGAGTTGTGTAGTATGGTCATGTTATGACATATAGTGTAGGCACAGCTATACCGTCAAGTTGCTCAAGTATCAACCTGCAAAAAGTCGGCCATAGCATGCAAATTAGCAATAGTACTGTGCACCACATGTAACGGGAACGCCACTACTGCAGTAGTAGCAGTGGTAGTACTGGTGGTAGTAGCAGTAGTAACTGGTGGTAGTAGCAGTAGTGGTAGTAGTAGTAGTAGTAGTAGTAGTAGTAGTAGCAGTAGTAGTAGTAGTACTAGTAGTAGTAGTAGTAGTAGTAGTAGTAGTAGTAGTAGTAGGTTGACGGGAGGACCAGACTTCTTTGTTTGAAGGTTGGGGAGAGCTCCACCCTTTCTTCTTGAGCGTATGCTCTCTTCCATGTGTTGAAGAGGTATACGGGATAGTCAGGATATCCTTACCTAGAGAAGAAGGAGGTCTCTTCTTGCCGAGTGAAGGGTAAACGGAGCTCTCTAATGTAAAACCAAGGAGGAAGTAGTAGTAGCAGTAGTAGTAGTAGTAGTAGTAGTAGTTATTGTTGTTGCTGTTGTTGTTGTAGCAGTGGTGGTAGTCGTAGTGGCAGTAGTAGCAGCAGCAGCAGCAGCAGCAGGAATTGTACAGGCGGCATTCGCCGTCATGGTTGCCAAAAGTAGTAGCAACATCAGTGCTACAATTACAAGTGCAAAAACTATCTATCCAATGACAACTTCCTTTAGTACGGTCTTACCAATGCTCACATGCCTTTCATGCTGTCGTTGTCAAACGTGGCATTTCGCCCGACGGCCTGGGTGTGCTGACCTCTCACCAAGGCCGGGACTCGCCAGCGGCGGCTGATCTTTTAATATGGATACCTGGGTGCGTGACAGTACTCAGCAGGCAAGGTTCAGTGTAAAGGCCTGTTTACAAAAAACTCCAGAAAGTGTGCATGGCACATGTATAGATGTCTGTATATGTAAATGTTTATGTATTATGTACATGTATGTCTATGTATGCACACATGTAAGTATATACATATGTATGCCAGCTCCCCTCCAGAGTTTGCAGACTCGAGAAAGTCACACTGTCAGCATTTTGGATACTGGTGACTGTATACCTACATGTTCTCTCCCATAACGACGGGAACTATTCCATACAGCCATGTAGAGTAAATGTATGAGAGGCGATCGGACCAAGTCCTAGCCACACACTGCGCGATGACAAAATCTAAGATGCAACAAAAGCGTGAGAAACTTGTCTGCTTTTGCAGTCCGGGCCTTCCCGACTGTCAGATTGTCATCCTTTCCGGCTTCGTTCTCCTGCCACTTGGCTTTTGGAACAGACCGCTTCGCTCGCAACTACCTATCTCGATAGCTAATTTCTGACCAAGGTCGCGGGCTTCCGCTTGCTATCTGTTGGGTCGGTTGCTTGCCACAGCAAAAAACACAGCGTGCAATCGCAAACTGCATTCGAACCTGAACTGAAGTATCAACAGCAAGACGATTCTACGAGGACTTAAGGGGGTTTAGGGTTTAGGGTTTAGGGCACCAGTAGCTACGGGATTCCCTCATATCGCATCAGAGGGGTACCTTCTCCTCTTCTCGATGCTTCCAAGGCATAAACTCCTGCATGCGTTGCATCTCTGCTAGACTCTGCAGCCAAAATCTGCAGTGGCACTGGTCTTGTAGCACTATTCCATACTATGCTACTGTCTACTATGTTACAAGTGGTATAACATATGGTGACGCATGGTTACACCATATAACATGTCAACATACTATGAAAGTAGACTTTAGCTCTCTCGGCCTCCTCCTTCTTTTCATCCGTCATACCATGCCTTGGCTGCGATCGACCTCTGACTTTCAGAGAGCCTTCGACAATGCGAGGCAAGAAATGCAAAATGAATAATGCACTATCGAATTATGACATCTTTAACATATTAAAAAGGTCATGTGCAATATAGAACCTAGTTAATAGAATGATGCCGTTTCGGCCGAGGCTCTCAAAATTGTCACTATTCTGGCTCGCCTGCGAAGTCGCTTGTTGGGCAAGGTTCTCGTCAGCTTTGGGACACTATCGTACCCTTCATAAAACCCCATTATAGCCCTTAAAGGGTACATAGGCATTATCCCAAACTTCTGGAGTTTAGCCTCCTCACGGAACGAGTTTGACATGGTCATGGGCAGCTACATCTGACCAAAGTTCAGCCACCAAAAAACCTGGAACAGCTGGCTGGCCCCGCTGATGGGTATCCTCTGAACACTGAGGTGCATCACTCTCCAAAGGAGTCAAAAGCATCAATCGAATACGCAGGGCCTACATGCCACGTTGCGGTACAAAACAGTTGGCCATGCTTGCAGAAGCACAGATTCGGAGCACCTCGCCGTACTCATCATTTCCATCCTCTGGATCCCGATGGCCGGTGCGCCATATCCGATTACTTGCCCCTGGCATGCAGAATCAACGAATCAGGTGCTGCACTGCTCCTGTGCAGTCCCTGCCCTTGACAAGCGTGTTCTGAAGACTTTGTCAAACCACAGCACTTGATTATGCGAGAAGCAATGGGAACGACAACCCGCTCACCGGACAGTTGAATCTTTCTCACTGAACTTATCGCAACCAACAAGACCTGAACCCATAAACCCTAAACCCTAAACCCTAAACACAAACCCTGAAACCCTGAAACCCTGGAGATTTGTTCGGCCACATCCAAAATCTTGACTCGGACCCCCTTGGGTTCTCCCCCTTTCTCGTGAATGAGACAACAACAGCAGGGGTCGACATCATACTTGCACTGGTTGGCATGCATCAGACTTTTTGTGGCACATAGCTTCCGGGGGCTCCTACTATTTCTCTATGCCACGAAAACGCCAGAGTCTTTCCACCACATCAGACAAGTCCAAACATAGCGACATTCAGAGGCAGCCGCCAAAGCAAGCAACCATCGCCCGCGATCGTTTGTGGTCCACATGTCCCCACAGGAACCATAGGTCGTGTCACGGCAGCAAAACAAAAGAGACAGGTTGCTTTGAGCAAAGCCGGCGCTTCTTCGCGCAACACATAGCAAAACAGACGCGGTGGCCACAAAACCGCCCACATTGCAGTATATTATGACCATATTCTGCAGATATCCATACATACGGAGATACATATATCCATGCATATATACATACATACTTACATACGCATATGCATATACCCATGCACACATACAAATATACTTGTGTATATACAGATATACATGTACGAACACATATATACATATATACACATATACATGGTTTGCGTAAATGTATTATTGTGTCTGCAAACATGCGTATACCTGCATATGTATATACATAAATAAGCATTCAAGCATGTACAGATGCACACAAATCACTTGCATATGCATACAAACATACATACACACATATACACATACACCCACACAGACACATGCACATACACCTACGTATATATATATATATGTATATATATATATATATGTGTATACATGGTTGCTGTAATCTATACACAAACACACAGACACATGAGCGGCTGACTAAACCTAT